CGTCCAGCACCGAGATGGGGGGTGGTAGGAGAGGGGGGAAAAAAAAAGAAAGGAAGGATTTTGGGAGCCGTTGGCTTGTCCTACAGCATCTCTCAGGCCAGCTTGGGGTGGGGGGGGGGGGGTATTTTTTTTTTTTTTCCCCCACCTTGCCCCTGGAGGAAGTTTGGCCGGGAGTGGAGCGGAGCAGGCGGGAGGTATTTTTATTTTAGAGCAGCACTGCAGAGGGGGGCTGGTTCAGGAGCTGTCTGTCACGGCAGCTGCTGGAGAGGACCCACGCTGCCTGCCAAAACTCACCCCGGACCAGGGAGCACGACCCGGGGCTGCCCACGGGAGCCCCGGGGGTCTCAGCAGCCCCCACGCAGGGACCGACTCCATCTCAGGGGTGTTTCGGTCCCCCACTTTGAGCCCCGCAAAGGAGGGGGTAGCCCCCATCACCTTGTGTGAGAGGGGAAACGGCTATCATTGCGTGGGGATGGGGAAACTGAGGCACAGAGCCAAAAAGGTGTGATTCCTCCTCGGCTCGGGGAGGTGTTTAAATCGGCACGGGGCTTGGAGGGTGCAACATCTCTACAAACCGACTTTGGGGTCTCCTTCTCAGTTTTTGGCATCTGCAGCCCAAAAAGGGGATAGGAAGGGGCTGGGTTGGGTTGCGGGCTCCGTTATCGCGGGGTATGTAATTACAAGTTGGCCAAGAGAAAGTCAACGCGGCGTCAAGCCCGTCTCCGTGTCCCACGCCGGGCTCCTTCTACCAAACCCCTAGCAGATTTGGGGAGAGCTCACCCTGGGACCGATGACCCCGAGCATCTCCTGAGCTGCCTGTAGGGTCAGGGGAGAGAACCAAGGCAGACGACCCCGGGTTTTATAAATACCTCCATGGGTTGTCCTCTTTGGGGTGAAGCAAGTCGTGTTTTGGGCTCCGGAGGGAGGATTTCCAGGATGGGCACCCCTCAGGTCAGCCCAGCTTTGCCCTGAACAAAAAAAGCTTTTTTTAGCAGCGTTTTGAACTTGGTGTGCACAGAGGCTTTCCATAGAGAGCCTTGGCCGATGGCTGTATGGCCAACGGTTTCAGCACCTAATGAGCCACTTTTTAATTTGCAGCAGACGAGGCAGGATTTGGCTGCCTGCCCCTCGGATGCCCCAGAGCCCCAGGCTTCGTCCTGCTGCCGCAGCTTGGTCCCTGCCCAGGGACTTCAGCTTTTTAGACCTTGACATAATTGACTGGGTGCTTAGAGGCGAAGTAATTAAGAGATCGGTGCAGATAAGCGCAGCGACACAATTTGTCACACTCCGAGCGCCTGTGGAGGGCAGAGGTTTATGGCCAGCCACGGCCATACGTCAAGGAGCCGCAGCAGGAGGGAAAATTGTGTCTGTCTCCCCCCCCCGCCAGCGGGTACAGACGGATGTGGTGTATAGGAAGGTAATGTATAGATGGTATAGGAAGATAACGACCAAAGGGGTACCAGGGGGCTGAAAGTCCCCGTCACCCTCCCTGGCTCCCAAACCCGCTCACCCCCCCATCCTATTCCACGCAGCAACCAAAAACCAACCCCAAAATCCTTTTCTCTGAGCGTTCACCGCGTTGGAGGCACGATGGACCTCGTTGCGTGGCCACGGGGCTGGAGGCAATGGGCATTTCGTTTTTGGGTACACGAGGGATGCTGGGGGGGGTCCAGGGAGTGGGTCCTGGAAGGCAGGAGGGCCACGGCCCCATGGTGCTGCTCTCCCAGGGCATTGGCACCCAGAAAGTTTTGGGCTGATGATAGATTTTTATTTTATTGAATTTTTTTAATCCCGAGCAATTTGTGATCTTGCTGGATTGAAAGTGCAACATGGAGGGCTGGGCGGCGTTTTTTTGTGAGGCTCTGGGAACTGTGGTGATAAAAATCATTTAGCTTTAATTTATGGATATTATTAAAATTAAAAAAAAAAACCAACCCGCTCTTGATTTCTAATATAATAAGATTTATTTTTAATGTGGCTAGCGTGCCTTCCTCAGCACAGGGGACGCCTCCGTGTTTTATTGCCCCAGTGCTGCTGCTTTACGACGAAGGGCTGTTTATAGCTTCGAGCTGATTTAAATGATAGTTTTTTCAAACATTTGGCAGGTTGCTGGAAGTTGTGGCACACGAGCTGAGGCCGGGCCCCTCTTCAGCGTCCGAGAAAGTGAGCGGGAAGGTGGTGGGGTTGAACGAAAGGCGCTTGGCTCCATCCCAGCAAGGCACGGCACAACCTGGAGATGTTTGATGGGGACTCCAAAGGAGCCTCCTCCTGCCTGCTTGCTCCTGCCTTACGCTGCTGTCTCCCTGCTACGGGAGCAGCTCTTTATGGGATGAACTGGAAGGAGAGAAGGTTATAGTAACCCGCATGGGTTGCTTTATACCACCTTAGGTTGCCTCATCGGGTTCCCCATGCAAACGTGTCATTGGGAACATGCCAACCCCACCAGGACCTCAGCAGGACGGCTCAGGAGAGGAGGGTGCGTGCCCCATCCATCCATCCATCCATCCATCCACGGTCACTGCCAGGACCCCTCTCAACACCCCCAGAACGGCTCTGCCTGTCCCCCATAGCAACCATCAACCCCATCAAAGGTCCCAGGACCTTCTGCTGCCGTGGGGAAGGACTCTGAAGAAGGCTCCCACCACTTGGCGGGGACAATCCCGCGTCAGCTCAAAGCCCACTGCCTTCAGCTCCTCTCCTTGTGATTCCCTCCCGTTCCTGAAAAAAATGCCCCAACTAGGTCAACGTGGTGGAATGACCCCCCCACCTCGCTGCCACGCAGCACCCCACGGATAAATAGTCTCGCTGACGAACGAGCTGCTCTTAAAGCCCGGGGCTTCACCCCCTGCCTGCAGATGGGTTTTGGAGCTGAAAGTGGAGACGCGTGGGGATTGAGGTGGCATTTGTTGAGCGAGGCTGCCCTGTCCCGTGGGAGCAGCCGGCTCCCGAGCCGGGCTCGGAGGGGAGAGGATAAGGGGAGAAACCCAATACCCCTCTTGGCTCAGTCGTGGCTTAATTTAGAGCACGGGGGCTCTGCTAAAGTGTTTTTCCATTTAAAGCTGAACCTCATTCCTTTTGTCATGCACGGGGCGAGGGCCCTGCAGCTTGCAGGGCAGTAGCAGCTGCTGGCTGCCGCTGCCGGAGGGGTTGGCAAAGCAATTTCCAATTTAGTTCCCCTTTGCCACTGGGTTCCTCCCCACTTCACCCACGGGAAGGGCTGAAATCTGTCTCCTCCTTGCACCTCCATCCTGCTTTGGAGTCTCGGGGAGGGCACAAGCCACCCACAGCCCCAGTCTACTGCTCTAAATCGGAGTCGTTACAGTGGGATTGGCTTTGACCTGCTGGCTGATCCTCCGCTGCTCCCAGGGCAGGGAGAGCTCGCCTGTGTCGATACTGTCTATATTTAACCATGCTAATGCAACTTAATTCACGTTACGGCCAGTTTGGAAAGCTGCACTCTTGTGATGCCTGATCTTCACAGGTAGATGACTCGCGACAGGCTGAAAGGAAAACCATGACAATTCATCAAAGGTCATTTATTCCCAGTGGTTCAGTTGTACTTTTAAAATTGGATGCATCCGTCAGGCATCTCATAGCTGCTTCGTGGAAGTGCTCTGCCCATCTCCGGGGTAGAAGACAACATTTGGCTCAGCCCAAGTGTTTGGAGGACTCACTCATATTCTTAGCATACATTAGCTAGAAGCTGGCCAAATCCTAAAAAGGAGTGTCCATAGCCTCAAATACTTGCAGCAAAATTAACCTTACGCTGTTCTTCACAGCTTAACTGTATCCACCAGCCTGTGCCAGAGGTGCCGAGCGTCGTCACCACCAGCTTGTCACCACCATTAGCTACAATGAGACTGAAAAAACTCAGAGCTTATCAAAAAGCAGCCTGTGATATGACTTTACACTGGATGAAGGCTCTGCCAGTGAGGAAATGCTGGGTACTCACACCCCTTTTATCTAGCAAAGAAAGGCATAACAATGACTGGCTGCAAACTGAAGCCAGAGAACTTCAAATGAGGATTGAAGCACGGGATTTTAATGGGCTGGTAATTATCCATGAGGACAAACTTCCAAGGAAAGCAGGGGGTTGTGGAGGTTTCAAATCAAGCCCAGCTACATTGCTAAAAGATATGTTGTAGCTCAAACAGCACATCAAACGTGCTGGAGAGATTCCGTGGCTGAGGACCAGTGGTACGGGTTTTTGCAGGCAATGAGAAAAGTATTTTTACTATTTTTATTCTCTGAGTGATGGGTTGAAGGACATGGGGCTGCTGCAGCCAGATGAACTAGGGCTGCCGCTTCCAAGATCTGTCAGGGTTTCTTACATTCAGCAATGAAATGACATTGCACTGCAAGAAAATCGGTCTCATACCTTGAAAACTGGGAAGCAATTGCTGGAAGAGTCAGCACAGGGAGAATTTGAAGGCAGGTCACTCTGTGGAAGTGCAGAGGGAATTTATTTCAAAACTAAGGTGAAAACAGAAGACCTGGACAATTTGGCCTGTATTCAGCCCCCCCCCCCCCCCCCCCCGCGATGGGAGACAGATTGCACATTTCCATGAGAAACAGTTACTTACAGGTATGGGTTCTGTAAATAAACTATTTTATAGTGTCTTAGTTCTTTCTTTGTCAAGGCGTCTGGTGTTGCTCTGTGTGTGTTTGTGCAGAAAAAAAAATAAAATACTTCTGTGCAACCCCAAACAAGCATATGTTTAAAGAAATAAGTGTTGCAGCACTTGAGGTTTGCACCATGTGCTAGTGAGCCATATGAGTTCTGTAACATATAGCACTCCCAGTTTCTTATCTGTGTTTCATGGGTTGATTCATAGCCATTTTGCTGGAGAGTGGTATGATCTTCACTGCTTTGTCACGGGACAGGGGACAAACGCTGACGCTGAATTAGAAAGGATGGCAGATTGCCTCTCCCGTACTTAAGTGAAAATATTATTGATTCACACTTCTGTGTAAGCGAAATCAGAATTGCCAGCAGCAAGCTACCAGCCTGAATTTAGCAGCCACTGCATAGCAAAATCTCCACACCTCTTGCCACAGCTCAGGCAGCTTTTCAGAGTGATCCCCTCACTACTTCAGGTCCTTAAAATATCTGTTGGAGGTGGGCTGATTTCTCCTCTTCTGTCTGCTCACTCTACCGCATGCTACATAATCATCAGGACAGAGTTGAACAGAAACAAACCGCAGCTCACTTGAACGAGACTGTGTCTCTCTCTCGATCCAGGATTTACGATTCCCCAAGTGTCGGGAGGAAAGGATTACGGGTTGCAAGATGCCTTTTCCTCTGACGCTACTCGCAGGGTGAGCAGGAGGAATTTGGCAGTGAACTGTTTTGGTCCCGCTTTTTGCGGGACCAGCTTTGCTGAGATACAGGCCAGCGCTGGGGGAGCGGAGCAGGGCTTTTGGGCACAGGGAGGCTTAACCCTCAGCTCCGTGAACTTCTCCATCAGGGACTCATGAACTGTTTGAAGAGGGACATCTGTGAACCTAATCAGGAAAAAGACAGGGACGACACTACCTGAGCTCACTGCATCTGGACTAACTCCCACTCTGCTCTCTTTTTCACTGCCTTATCGCAGCACAAGTGGAGTCAGGACGCAAGCCCCGTGCTGGGGAAGGGAGCAGCGGCTCGCCTGTCCATAAATCCACTTTGCACTGGTGGTGGCTGGGGTTAAAGTCTGACAAACTTCACGCTCACAAAAAGCAAAGCAGAAAAAGAAGAGCTTTCAAGACTTTCAACCGAGAAACAAAGCAGCACTATACAAAAATTACTAGCTCTCCATTTGCTTGTAATCCCCAAGGCTAGCTCTCTGCTGGCAGGCTGCATGTTAATGCCTTATTAGCTTGCACTTGGTGTTCTCACCATGCTGCAAGAGAAAAGGACAGAGATGCAAGTGTTTTCAGCATCTCCAGAAGTCCCACCACTACTGTGGTGAGGACCTCCCTGCGTTTTGTTAGCATTTCTTCCTAGCGAGAACAAGACCTGCCTGGTGGATGAATGCAGAGACCCAGAAATAGGAAATTCATCACCTGGATGGCAAGTATCTTATGGAATAAGCTGAATTTAAGGTAGGTCTGACTGATTGCAGGCGTAATCAGCACATTCTACCTTTTCAGTGGAAACTCCACTGAGTATCAGAAAACTCTGCTGCCAATATGTTCAAGCAAAGAAACAGGTTGGAATGGTGAGTGGAGCCCCCCAAAAGTTCACTTGCAGCTATTCAGAGGCCAGGCTAATCCACACGACAGAAAGCCTGAGGCAGACAGGTATCAGTGAGCCGATAAAAACAGAACTTGGTTTGTTCCTGGCACGGCTTTGGAAGGGAGCTGGCATAACTTTTGTATAGCAAATTCCTTTATGAGCTGATAAAGGCAGCAGCATATTGAATATCGAGCCCTCTTGAGGAAAATTCTGTTGAAACTAGGGAGGTTTTGCCCAAAATCACACTGTAGAATTGCAGCTTCCTAAACTGCACCAACCTACGGCATGTGCAGTCTGTGAGCCAGCTGCTTCCTAACTCTTACTGACAGAATTTGCTGACATGCAAAACCTTCACTCTTTTTGTATTTCACCTCCATTTCTCATTCTTTTCTGCGAATGCTAAAGAAATGACATGATCTGAGGCTGCAAAACTACACTGCCACTGCATTTCAATTCATGGGCATGATGCCTGGGCTCTCTCCCTGCTTTGCAGTCCAAAGGACTCTGAATATCTTGCTTAACTCATCTCTTGTTTCTGCTGTCGAATGGCCTGTAAAAAGATATCCTTCACTTGGTCCATTGTGTCCTGATACAGTTTAAAGTCTTCCTCTTTCTTTCTCACAGTAGTCTCCAAAGCGGCTTTCAGAGCTTCGTTCTCATCCAGCTGGATCACAAGCCTATGAGGAAACAAAAGGAAAACTTTCATGTGAGCCGTGGAGCTTCAAAGCAAATTAGAACAGTGCTTCAGCTCTGGGGAAGAAAACATTGAAACACATGCTCTCTGGTAATTTTATGACAGGCATGAGAAAGAGCAGACTTAACACTTGTTCCTTCTCTCTTTGAGGTAGAAAAGAGTATTAGATGACCAAGATACTTTTCAGATCTGTTTTGTTAAAGATTATAATTTTATTTTCACTAATAAGCTTGCAATCAACGCATAAGGAAAGAAAAAGGAAAAAAAAAGGTGTCTTCCTTGCACGTGTTTTGTGTTGGTTAACATTTGCATTAGCTTGATATTTCTGGGTATCTGTATAATTATTAGGAAATTTGTGTAGAATGGCATAGACAAGCTCAGACCAGAGGATCTGTGATTTCTACAGAGTTTGCTAGGTTTTATCTTCTGAGGAGCGGATGCAGGTAATATCACTGCTAAAAGGACAGCAATGAGTTTTAGCTGTTGTGAGTAACACTGCATGGAGGAAGGGAAACCATACCTTGTGCTCAGCTCCTCTATCTGCGATTCTAGAGGCAACTTGGAGAGCTGGGCTGCAGAGAGCTCCTTCCGATCGCTCACATTGGTGAGTCTTGAGTGACTCGCAGACTGGCCTGTAGATATAATCACAAAATGGGGTTTTAGTAAAACAAGCAACCGTTTTGACTTGGTAGCACACTGAGTGAATCTCAGGAAATAGTGAATAAATACTAAGGAATCTGTTCAGTTCCAGGTATATCCATGAAGATACTGTAACTATATAGGACAAGCTTTTATTTTAATCTCCTTTCAGCAAAATTAAAACATGATGAGTTTGCATTTCTGGGTTAAATGCAGTAATATGCCTACCTAGTTAGAGAAGAAAAAAAAAACATCCAAAATATTTAAGTGGCCAAAACAATAGGTGATAGAAACAGTTGAAAAGGATTATTTTAATGTTAATCTTGTCATTGTGTTTCACTTAAGATTATGGCAACTGTTGCTTCCTGAATGCCTGTGATGATGTTTGTGTGTGGCACACACCACAACAGCTTTTGTAAAGCACTTTGTTCCTCAGCATAAACACAACATTGGTTAAACGCAATAAAGCACTCAAATTGGTTCTTCAAACTAAGATTCTAAATCAGGAATTCTTTCCTAAATAAAGGCCTACCCAAAACATGCAGCATTGCTCCTGTCATTTCAAAGGGACACAAAAACTTTTTTCAGGGTTATAAAGAAAATATAATTCAAATTTACTACTGGGATTGGAAAAGCAAAAAACTGTGAGTGACCAGTCGATCCCTACAATGGAAGAAGGCCCAGAGAAGACAGGCAAGGATGATGTACCCATGAAGCTCAGAAAGGAATGTAGAAAGTGACCATAGCTACCGTAGAGGATGCTGAACTTATCCCAACACCAAGCAGAATGGAGGGTGGTCTTTGCTGTAGATAAACGGCTTAATCAGTTGAGTAAATGTAAATGGCCTTCTCTAAAATAATCAGTGGAAAGTACTACCTACCTTGAGCCTGCTAGACCAACATGAGGGAAATGTGTATGTGGTTCAGGCCAACATAGGGTATAAAAATCAAAAAACCAGCCAAATGATCTTTGAAGAAAATAAAGACCTGAGATGGCTTCAACCCACATATTCCTTCCTAGCAAAACTGGGGACACACAGCATCGTGACAGTGAGCATCTAGGCCGGTAATGGGAATCATACCTGTGTTGCGATTCAACTGTACATTGCAATTCCTATATTGTGCTTGTGTTGTGATTTCAGTACATTGCTGTATCACTTTTCCAAATTAAAATCCCACATATTGTCAAATATCTTCAAATAAGTAAATTTGGTATTAAAACACTAAATCCTTCTCATGTGGAATATCTAAAAGAACCTGGTCAGAGAGTATTGGACTCTAACAAAAACATATGAGAAGAAAAGGCTATGTTGTATAACAAAGAAATGCTTTTGATCTTGAGGTTGTGTTTTACAGGGCTGAGGAAAACCTGCTGTTACTTACCTATTCTCCTCTGGGATTATTCTTTGCTAATTTGAAATTTGGATAAGATAGAAAAAAACCCCAAAAAATGAAAAGCATGAATAATTTTAAAACACAACCGGGTTGTTTCTAGCTACTCAGTATCATTATCTACTTCCCTTGAATTGAAGAGACTAGAAACATTAGATTAGCAATTAGATCAGCTCTCTCCAATTTTGCACTTCCAGAAAGAAAAGAAAATATTATGTTAATTAGCGGGTTCTCTAGTCTCTATTTTATATTCAAGCTTTTCATTCCTTCTTATTTCCTCAACTATCTGGCATGAAAACATTTAGATAACCTACATGCTCTGCTGAAGAGGTATATTACAGACTTGTAGACTCGTTTCTTGTACAAACTCCAGAGTTTTGGCACATCACAAGGGGCTGAGCTCTCTTCAAAGAAGGGTGGTGAAATAGATTGTTACCTACTCATCCTACAGACTTAGAGAGGATTTCTTCTTATTAGTCTTACTGCCAATCCTTTTCTACATTTGCTTTTAGTCCTTAAGCAGACAAGACTAATGAACTAAATATTTAGTAAGAAGGAACCTGTCACACTGGTAAGAACAGCCTGCTTCCTCTGGCTATGAAATGCCAATCTCCCAGAGAGGAGTTACCAAACTTACTACAGCACAACAACTTGACCAAAATGGCTCAGGACCTGCAGAGTTTACCACTGTATCTCTTTGGGGTTGCAAGGGAAATCTAAGTGGAGCACATGTATGATAACAGAACAACACATCAACACTTTACACTACCAGGTTGTATGAAAGTCTGGGCACTCAAAAATTCAGTTAAATTCTCCTCAAGAAGACAGCACCAAAATGCTCCCATGCTATTTAAGGCATGGAGTCAGTAAAAAGTGTACCATTGAGAGCTGTATTCCCACAACTCTCACCTGACTACTACCTGTCCCTCCACACACCCTGATTTCTTCCTCTGGGCATCTGCAGAACCATATGAGGGCTCCAAAGCCTCTCACCTCCAGACCCTCCTGGGAATCACAAAGAGCATGCCATGATACCACTTCTGTGAGGCCCAGCACCGCTCTCTTATCAAGATGAGAATGTCCTCTATCCTAAAGGCCAAAGGCTGCAGCACTTTGTTTCTAAGCACTAGGTTTCTATTACTATCTAAGTTTTTCTGCACTACTTTTTCTGCTGTCAGGCTCTTGGTTAATACAGGTAAGACAGCTCTAAAAATCAGTGGTCACAGAAAAACATCAGAATGAGTCAGTGTTGGCTGGAACCCTTTCTAAGGACACAACAGTTCTGCTCTAAGGAACGGATCCATATTTTACAGAGAGGAGTAGGTTTGAAGCAATCATTCAGTCCCCATTCAGGATAAAGGCTCCTTTGAATCCTGTTCCATACACCTAATTCTCTCTATGCGCTGGATGGGTGAATGACAGTGCTTCCCTTGAGGTCCTGAACACCATGTAGATGTTACACTGGAGACCCTAGCTCTCTGGTATGAATCGAGATCATAGAGAATAACAACATGTGATTTCTTGCATCACGGTCCTGCAGCAGAGAGAACTTATTGTCAAACATGCATATGACCAAGAGCACTATGTTGGGAGATGCAAAGAAATGCAATGCAGTTACAGTAGCGTTTCCTACCTCAGTCTGACCCACGCCCAAGAAGAAACAAGACACCATTGCAGGTGGAAGAGGGGGTGACTGCTTATGCAGGTCATAGCGCTCAATACAGATCAGCTCTAAGAGCTGATGAGGTAGCATTAGTACACACCACAGCGCTGGATAGAGTCATGATGGAAAGCCACACCATGCATCTGCTGAGCTGCAGGGCAGTCCCCCTACGGCCCAAGATCATGCGCTTCAGTGTGGGGCAGGCCAAGAGCTTGTACAAGGTCTCTGATGAGGCTTGTGACCTCTCTAATCACTGTAACTCAGCCTGACGGCATCCTACTATTTGCCAAATTGAAATTCCTATTCCTACTGTTCATATCCTGGCATTTAAAGTCTTTTTACTTTATGAAAATATATATAAAAAGGGAAACCACTGGAAAAGTTTCCTTAAGAATATGTGCCATTTTATTGGTTTAGACACTTTACAGAACCAGAGTCTTTAAGCAATAAAAGGATCTGATCAGGGAAATAAAAATTTAACATCCACCATGAATTCTTCTCCTTTAACTATGCTAGTGAGGCTTTCATATTTATAGCAGGAGATTATCATGTTCATGGGATAATAAATTACACCAGATCTAATTACTTCATCACCAGCAATAGTTTTTCATAGACACTGACAGGCCTTAAATTGGGATGCGTCCTTTAATTCTGCTCTTAACCTTCACATGAATCCCTCAGGCAGAAGTGCAAAGGGAACACAGCAGTGGGCACGGTGGCAACACAGAGCAGTGTCAAGTTTTTTTCATAGACTGTCATCCGATAAAAACAACATATTGCAAAAGTCCTGGTCACACTTAAATCTGTGGCAAAATCCTCTTGAATTAAGTGGGGCCAGGATTTCAGCTTCCGTATTGTTCCACTGGTCTGAGTAGGTCCAAATCACTGTGTGTAAGGTCAAGCACTTGTGTAGGTTTGATAGATTAGAGTCCAAATGTCGTTTCTGTCTATTAACCACAGAGGTGGGACAGGGGAAATAGTTGTAGATAAGTGCTCCACCTCACCTGTTTTGCTCCTGAGGGGACGTTTCTGTGCACTTGTGCTCCTCCCTGGATCCATTTGCAGTTTTTCAAGCTGCTGTTCCAAAATGACACATCGCCGCCGTTCTTCCTGAAGCCTCTTCTCAGCTTCCAAGACTTTATTGCTGCCTTCCTCCACCCTGATAGGCAAAAAGAGGTAGTTAAGCTTATTTATGTCATGACTATTAAGGATCAGTCAGTCTTGATACTGAATCCCGCTTCATGCTGCACAGCTCCCAACAGAGGGAAAAGGAGAATTTTCCATGCATCCAAAGAAAGAAATCCCAGTAAAATTGTTCCAGATGACATCCTCCAAATTTGCAAACCAGAATTAACTAATGAGTACAGTTGGAAATAATGGGTTCATTAATGGAGGTTGCCTAGATCCCTTAACACTGGCTACTTGTGTGAATTTACCACTCAGATGGGCAGGCAAGCTGCAGATTGCTGAGGAGAGATCTTTTATTACAAGAATAATAAAATGCATTTTTTAAACACACTGGGAAAATTTGGAAGGAAAATAGTTTATAAAAACACTGTCTAGCATTTAGCTGTTTTACGTCAGTTATCTGCAAGTAAGAAAAGAAACTTGACGTTGCTTTTAATAAACTTAGCCATTAGACAGTGAGTGGAAGAGAAAGTGAAGGTTCACCCTGCAGTACAGAATGGAAGAGCAAAGTGCCTCTCTGTTCACCCCGCACAACATCTTAGAAAATTAGCTACAAAAATTTGATGTGCGCCCACAGATGCAGATAGTGGTGCATCTTGTGTGGGGCAGCACCTGATACAAAATGATTCAAAGGATCTTAAAGCTAGAGAGAAACTTGAATTGACTCACTGTATTGTACAGTGCAGAATAAAAGAATTTCCTTCTTGATCCCACAGGTGATAGCTGATTATTCCCTGAATCAAGAGACTTGATTAGTCTTATTTCCCTCCTAGCTGGCGTAACTAAAAAAATATTACAACTATAATAAAATTATATCACTGTCCTAAAAATCTAGCTACAGGCAAGACTCTGACCTCCTGTGGCAGTGAATTACCAGGCTGGTGACACTCTATGAGAAATTATATTTCTCTTAGTGGTTCTGAATTCACTAAACTTTCATTTGACCAGGTGTTCCCCTAGCATCCACGTTAGACAAACAGTGGAGGAAAAATGACAAGACTACCCCGATTTTACTAAATCTTCTGCCAATATGAATAACTTACTTAAACTAAATGTTCCTCTACCTCTTCCCCTTCCCCCAGCAGGGCCCAATCCTACAAACCGTTCACAACGGTGTATCTTTTGACAGTATATTCTGCTCCACAGTAAGTGACTGTGAAACACAGTCCTAAATTGTCAGCTGCTGTAGAAAAATCCCACTCATGTAACCATTCCCAGTGCTTTTCTCTCAACTTAGGCATTATATGTGTTACTTGAGCTTTGCTGACCCACACTCCAACAGGGGAAGGGAAGAGGAGGAATGCCTGATATTTTTACACATAGTCATGTTGAAATATGACTGGATGGTATATTATCCTGAGGTCTTCCAAGAGTTATTGCACACAATCTCACAAAATTTACTTTACCTGCTCTTGATAAATGTGTGATAACCGTGGAGCTGCTGAATCATCAGTCTATGGTACATTTTACAAGCAACTGTGCATTTCATTGACTCCGTGTTCTTCATTATGCCATATTTGTGATGGCCCCATTTCAGCTATCACTCACACCTCCATCCTTATCTAATTGCATAGGTCTATTAAAGTCACTGGGCTTACAAACATGAATAAAATTCTCCCAGTGTGTATTTCCAGGATTTAGCCCTTAAAAACACAGGGGATGATACCTTTACCACAGTTACAAAAAAAAATATTTTTCTGACTGCAATTAATTGTATGGGACAAAAGTTAGACAAGTGTGAAATGATAACTAGTGTAAAATACAGCAAGAAAGCAAATAATGCCTATTGTATTCAAAAGCAGACAGACAACAAGTATATCTTTCTACAAACTGGAATACAGATTTGGGAATCAAATAATAGACATTCTTTAACTGGTAAAAAAAGCAGTAGTTAAAAGGTATCTAAAGAGAAAAGACTTTGTTTCCCCTGCCCTCCTAAAACACAGCTGGCTTTTAACATCACCTTAAATTGAACTGAATAATAGAAAAAAAAAATCACTGTTATGCTTCACTTAAACCAGAAGAAATTCATTTAAAAGTGGATACAGGAAAACTTAAAAGAATGTGAAAAGCTTTTGGAACAGAAGTCAGATTTTAACTATAATTACAGTATTTACTAGTGATTAATAATATTGCTGCCTAAATAACGCCACACATATATAAATACACGAATTCTAGTTTCATCTAGGTGCAGCAAGCTTGAAGACGACTTCATTTTTCCTGTCCTTTGTTCTAAAATAATAATAATAAAAATGAATCATCAACTAGGCAGGGAAATTGAGCAGAAAAAATTTAAAAAGCCCCTATTTAAGGAAAGGATCACACTGGCAGCGTATGATGTACTGTACTGCATGCTATAGACTCTCACACGTCTCAAGATCTCCTTAATCGCAGCATCCCACAAAGGATACTGGTAGAATCAGCCACTACCTTTTCTGCAGCACAGTGACCAGTTCCAGGAGCCTGTCTCTTTCCACTTCAGCAGCCTGGCAGAGAGCCTTGTGCTCTGTGATCTGTGTCTGCAGCACTTTCAAATCCGGGCTGTCAGTGCCAGCAAGCCTAAAAGCAGCAGAAGCGTAGAGAGTCTGTCTCCCATTTCACAAATGAAAGAAATGAAACAAAGACAGGATTTGAAAAACATATCAAAATACACTTGTCTGAAGACTACGCCAGAATGCAGAGCCAGGCTCACTACCTCCCCCCAGCATCAATCCCTATACTGCAGTAAATGGAATAGAAATATTTGGAAATAAATCCACCGTGAGTTTCATTGGAAAGGTCTTTTCCTTCACAAGTATGCTTTCCCTTCCCATCACCCCTAAAAACAAACTTCCACCTCTGATCAATTCACTATCACTGACTCTCCGCCCATTGCTGCTGCCAAAGTAAAAGAAGCCTATATGTGAATTCTCCACAGTGCTACGCTAAGCTATTAAATGGCATGCTATTGATTTTCTCCCACTGAAAGGCTTCAGGCAGCATTAGGACAATGGCTGTTCTTGTGCCTAATATGTGATGAAAGGAAGGGACAGTTTTCCCATGCATCCCATTATTATGTACTTCATTACTTCTCCGACCTCTCCACATAGGAGTATTCAGGTGTATCTCCTTTAGAACAAAAAGCAGGAGAAATTGTGGTGATTGGGGGTGAAAAGGGAAAAATGGGGTTTAGCAATCAATTAGAAAATTAAGATAGCAAGAAGACACTAGAGCTTGTATCAGAGCTCTTTGGCAGTATCAGGTAGAAAGGATGGTGAAAGCAGCTCTTCATTACAGAAACAAGGCAGACAAGGATAAGGCTTGCCAGCAGCTTGCGGAACATGGCAGGAAACCTCCCTTGTTTATGATGAAGTTTATATACATACCTTCCAGGTGGGATGTTATTACTGAGAAGGAAAGGCTTAGTAGCTGCTGACTCTACAAGTGTATGGCCCATCTTGGACACTGTGCTGGGAGGAAGAAACCTTTGTTAAGCACTGAGCTCTACAGAGGGCAGTCCTCCAAGAATTCCGGTCATTTTCCAATGTCTGTGTTTATTGCTGCCTTGTAGGGAAAAGGCTCCCAGAGCCCTCTCAGTGGGTATCACACAGGCACTGCATACACAATAGTTCAGCTTGCTCCCTGACTCCAAAACACTTTCATCTTACACCTTCACCCACTAGGGTGAGAGACAAGCACAGGTTACTGTGCTTGTTTGATAGTGTTTGCATGCTGTATGCTTTCATAACCAAATGAACCCCTGTTCTGCAACAAGGTGCACAATTTTATTTCCAAATGCCCTTTAAAAATATACTTTATATTGTTTTCTGAACCTTTTTACTTTGTGGACAACCTCAGGAAGATCTGTCAGGCTTAGTGCTGTAAGAGGAGGAGTCAACCGATAACACTAGAGTATCACTTCCAGTCTGGATGAGTTTTACACGTAATGATGTGTGTGGCTGGGACATAAAAATCTAGTGTGTGTTTGTTTTCCGAACTTGAGCTCAGCTGCCTAGAGGCAAGTCCCTGTAGACTTCGCCCATGTTTCCTTGCCTTTGGGCTGCAGCTAACAGAGGATAAAACCTTAATATTGTGGAACAGGCACAGCTGCCTTCTAGGCTAGGAGTAGTTAATCCTAAAATCAAGTTAAGGTTGCTAATGACAGAAGTGGCCCAGTCTAACAATGCAGATTTTTACTTTGAAATCTCCAAGGGGCTTTAGTTCCTATTTATAGCATTTTTCATTTCATCTTTCCTGATAGGAAAAGATGATTCACTAAAGTAAAATGGAATAGAGAGTTCATCAGCATATTAAAGTTAATGGAATGATTGAGCCCTGCTGACCAAGTTATTAACGGCTCTTGCAGTTTTCAGACTCATTCACTGCCCACCTGACATGTCAGCTATTTTCATGACAGAGATATGTTAGCCACGTATACAAGCAATAATTTATGCATTGCACTTAGCAGCTCCTACAAAGCCATTACCAAACCTTGTTTTCCTGCTTGCCTTCCTGCTTACCATCAGCAGACATATGAAGTAAAAAAGTGGGTAAAATATAGATTTGTTCCATGAGAGCACAACTTCTGCCAAGTTAGAGGTGGGAGAATAAAGTCAGTCAGAAGGGTATAACTGGAGATGTGGACACTTTCAAATTAAGGACGTTTTAACTCTAACTTGAAAACACTGAAAAGAACTTTTCTTAAATTTTGTAGTAATGCTCTACTTAGACTCAGGGATACATCTGACAATTTTAAAGCCAAATTCAGTGTGTAAAGTAATGTGGTAGGTGAGTTAAAATTACATAGAAGAAATCAGTTGCAACTTTAACTTGATGAAAAATTTCCTCCTTCCTCAGAAGACCAGTCTCAAATCCTCATTGTCAATTAGACCATGAACTCTTTAGCAACAAAACCAGCATTTTAACAGGAAAGGATAAAACTTGCTCTGGTATTATGGTCCCTTTACACAGCCAGAGTGACACAGAGTCACATCAGTGTAAACAAGAAACAGATTTACCACTGTATTAAGATTAGTGTAATTTACGTGGTCCTCAGTGAGGCTTTATAGAGTGTTTGTTAAGAACAAATGATGTGCTGTGTTTTCAACATTTCTGCAAGGAAATCCTACTCAAACCACATTTATTGATTTAAATAATGTGCCAGTGATTTAGTGCATACCTAAAATGGCATTTTGTATTAATTCGCCACCCATCTCTCAGAAGTCTGCTCATTAGAAGCCCCGTTTCTCATAAGAGAGAAGAATCACAAGCACTTAAGCTAACCACATAAATATTATCCGAGCTGGAGAAAGAGAATTAGCTGCACTACCATCATGCCAAATGTAGTAATGTCTGCAAGTCTGTATATCTTTCTCTGTTCCAGGACGAAAGTCCAAAAGATAATGTGATTAGAGATTCCCATATACTGTAAACAGGCTGCCACAGCTGTTGGTACATAGCACTTGTGGTTTGATAAAATTGTCTGTGAAAACCATGCTTCTGAATAACTCACAACAATTTTAAACATTGACATTAGGGTCTTCTTACCGAGCAGATCCAATCCTTCCAACCTGATTGCTGCCTGATGCCAGAGGCTTAAGCAGAGTAAAACCTGGATCTTCTGAGTGCTCAGAGGGTGGTGTAGCAGCAGCTCCTGAACCGTCCCCTTGATGGGCGGATTTCTTCTGTTAATGTTGGAGCAGGTTATAAAACCAATTACACAGTTCAGAGGAAAATAGCTGCATCACTGCCTAAGCAGCAGCTCATGATTTTTGCTACAAGCATGCCAGAACTTTTGATTCACAAGACCTCCTCAGAAACTTTTCTTTAGTTTCTATGGATTTCAGGATGGAAACAAAGCAAAAGTCAGTAAAGTGCAGTTTCATGTGAAATCATAGGGTGCACACAGTGTCACTAGAGAACCCACAGTACAGGACCACCACTACCAGTGTCAGCATGGGTGGCTTGTGTCCCTAACCCAAGTTTTATCTTGGGTTCAATGCTTATCCCCCATTACTGAGGGATCTGACAGATTCACAATCTCACCATAACCCTATGAGGGTTTTATATCAATGGGAATTAGACATCTAAATACTCTGACAAAACCTGACTGTAAGATACCACACCACAGGAGAAGTCTTTAGCAGGTTAATGGACTGCCTCTCAACTTCTATGCCTGTGCTCTGGCAATAGTACCACCTTGCCTCTGTTAGTTTGCAACACTAGACCATAAAAGTTGAAAACATTTTTAATATACTAGTCTATAAGGGGCCAACCTTCCCAATTCTTTCATCTGTTCAATGAAATTTCCATATGCCTGAGACCCATCAGACTCATATCAATAGCTTGGACATCTGAGGGAGAGGAAGTTTTTGAAGTGGTTTACAGTGGGAGATGAGAATAATTTACTAGGGGTCCCACCACTCCATGAGGGGAAGTAGCTGGGTACTATGGCAGCTTGCTGATGTTGGCCTCACCTATGTTTGTTTGCTAGCTTCCTTCAGCAGCCAAGGATGCTGAATACTAAAAAGTCCTCACTGCAGCCCAACCCTTGTTGTCAAGTCATGGGACAGTCTTGACACGGAGCCACGTGTGGACGCGATTGATATTTCTATGTTTTCTACTCTTTACACGGCTTGAAGAAAAGTTACGTACAAACAGGAAAGAAACTTAAGAGTTACAAGAGAGAATTCCTGCTTTATCATTCCATCGGGAGAGACTGTCAGTAGGACAGGTATTAGTGTCTCAAGCTAGCAACCAACTCAGATAACAAGGCAGAAGGAAGTGGAAGAGCTGATCTAAAATGATTAAAAAGTGTGCTCCTTTAGTTAATTTCTTCTGACTGTCTACCTGAAGTGTGAGTTGCCCAATCTCCTCTTCCAGCTCTTTAACCTTTGCTTCTCGTTCAGCCACCATCTGTCTGAGCTGCTCTATAAGGCAGTTTTGTTTCTGAACCTCACTGTTCAAATGCTGCCCTAGCATCTGCTGGGACTCCTTGTTCTTCTCATCCTGCTGGCTCAGGTGCTTTAAGATCTCCTGCATTTGCTTCTGTTGGCTCTGATAAAAAGAAACAATGAGTGAGATCTTCACTTTTATATACAATGATTATTAAGACTAGCTGGGTGTTCTACACCCCCCAAGACAAATACCCATTTAGGAATGCTAGAGCAAGCCGCTGCCCTGCTAAACCCATTCCTTGGTCTAGGCACATTGATGTCACTAGTGCTACTCCAAGAATTTGGTCCGTTATGTTTTAAGTGTGAGACCACCTTATCTTGTTCTCAGCATTTATCCATTGAAAGGACTGCACAGCACAGCTACTTGCAAAGCTCAGACACAGGCGTCTGGGTAAGGACAGTGTCCTCACTGGCCCCTGTGGGTCATATCAAGACTTTAGTGACTGGATGGTGCAGGTAGAAAAGACCTGAGCAACTGAGTGATTCAGTATGCTGGCAGCTTTGCTCCTGAGTGTAGCAGAAAAGACAGCAAAAAAGGCTGGCCTTTGACAAAGAAGGTCACTTTTTCATAAACTGGATAAAAGTAGATTCAATGTGCTTTTTGTGAAATTAGAACATGATCAGATTGTGTGATAGTGACGTTAAAAGATGAGGGTAGTGAGGTGACAGCTATGAGGCTAGGCTGTTTTACCAGTATGTTTTGGAGGTTTTCTCAAACTGACAAATCTAATACTTGTCGGTCAGTTTGTTCTGTCAGGCCAACAAACTGCAAGCAAGGTGCTTCTTTGATGTAAGGGATAAAACAAGTTAACCATTCCTTCCCAAGTAAACTCACATTTTTCTGTAATCATTTTAGTGAGAATGCTCAGACTTAGCAAAAGTGACAACTGTTATTTGGCTCCTCTGTAATCTGCCGGCCAGTACCCATATTCCCCATGGCTGCCTGGTGTGCAGAAACATGAATGCCAGCTTAGTCATAAGCATGTCTTAGCTAAAACCTACATATAGAAGCAAGGAAATGTGATTTGAAACGTGAAGAGCTAGATCAGGAAACACAGAACTAACCCTACTAAGAAGTGGCTAATAATTTTTTTCTATTATTTTAATTGGGGAAGACTATTTAGAACCATGGCAGGACAAAAGGATCCTGCAAGACCATGACAACAATCATTTATTTCAGCATAACTGCATCTTGAGTTTCTGCTAATACTCTTGGTTTTGAAGGGGCCAAATCCTCTCAGCTCCAGCTACTGCAAGTGAATGTGCACATGGTTTAGCACTCATGGTTCAGCTTGTGTGTTTTGGGCTGTGTAATACAACAAATCAAAGTTCAAGATTGCAGGTATTCTTAAGAAAAAAATTCTACCAATGGAGCTGAAAGCAGAACAGAAAATACAGTCCAGCTTCATGGGTCAGAAATGAAGCCCTTCCTCTACCTCCTAGATAATCCTATTTCAATCCTTCTGCAAAAGATTTCTTCCAATACTTGCAGCTTAGAGCTGCTTGACTGCAACCGTGTCACGCCTGGTGCTATCTTGCAGCCTTTACATGATCTGATCCACAATGAAGAGCTTTAGCTGACTAGGAAACCTCTGGCTGTCACAGTTTGATTCATCAGGCCTCTGTATACCCTAAGGTTGTCTGTGTCATCGTGCCATTAAATGACATCATGTTTCGCCACTTATAGAAAAAGGGCTGATCTGCAGGGGCTGGGACCAACAGTAATAGCCAGACTGTACCAGTAAGGCATCTATGAGCTCATCGTCGTGTTTTCCTTTCTCCAGCAAGGTTACGATCTGTTCCTTCAGGGTTTTCACTTCACTGCACAGTACTTTGTTCCTGGCTTTTGATGCGTCGAGTTTTTTTTTCACTTCCTCATGACTTTTTTGGAGAGCATCATGTTCCCCAGTGAGTTTCTGCAGTGATGCAAACACATCATAGGAAATGACAGTTATAGCCTATCACCAAGCCCCAGGTGCTTTGGTGAGCTAAAGGAATCACACATTGCCTGGTAGAAGCTAAAAAATGGAAATGGCATACAATATCATCCCTAAGTAAGTAGAAATTATAAATGCTACTGCTTGCTGCCGGCTTGCCAGCATCAAAAAAAGGTCTGTCTGCTCAGGAATACAAGGGACTAGGTTGATTCAGTACATGCCAGGAAGCAAAAGATAATTTTGTATTACAACCTAATTCTGTATGCTCCTGCTTTTTCTTTTGCCTCACCATTATCCACGGGGAGACTCTCTTCCTTCCAGATACAGGTGGTGATGCCACACTGTCTACTAGAACCTGCCCCCTGAGCCATGCCTTCACCTAGATGAAACTGGCCAGGGAGCACTCTAGCAGTTAAGTAGTAACGGACAAGTACAGGGGAAGTTATTGTGAAGGAGCCTGAAACACAAAGGCAGAAGTGGAGCCGTGCAGATTATAGTTATTGAGGAACATCCTCCCTGTGCTGCAGGCCTGTAGCTATAAATCTTCTCTTCCATTCCCATGGCCAAGAATGAAAGGTGTGTATCACCCCATTGCTCATTCTGTTGCATGGGTAAATTGCGGTGAGAAAAGCAGCAGCTCATCAAGCTCTGGAATGGTGCCAGGTGGCTTCTACAGAAGCAAATACAGAGAAGGAGAATGGGGAGATGTGCTTTGCTAAGCTGAATATGTGTAGCTGACCCTCACTACCCATGTTTCTTGCGGACATAGGCCTATGTATCCTTTCCACCTCGGGGTTTACTACATGTGCCACTAGCTATAGCCTCTCTCACCCCTAAACACCAGATGCTTGTTTATTTTTATAGCAACTACATGTGATAGATGGAGGGTAAGACCAATTTTCAGAATGCCTCTTAAGAGGGTGTCTGGTGTAATTCTCATCTCTATTTTGTTTAAATATAGAAGCCCATAGCCACACAGATATATGAGGTATGAGGGGGATGCTTGTATTTAACATTGCATGAAGAATGCACATCTGGCCACAGGGTGAGGGGGAAGCTACAGAGCTTGGATGCAGATGTAGCAGGGCTTCTTTCTGCATATGCCTTCAGTATAAAGCCAGTACCAGCTGCATTGCACCCAGGGCCTCTCTCCCCTTTTCTAACATCACAGAGCATGCACAGTTGTCAGGTAGCCACATTTCAGATCAAGTGGATGCATCTGACACATGAATCATGCAGCAGAGGGGAAGACCAAATCTTGTACTGCAGCAGTATGCCTGGCCACACCAAGAGTGCAATACAGAAAACAAGTGTGGAAGCTTTTTGCTCAGTCTGTGAACTGTGGCAGGATTTCTGCCAGCAGAACAAATGGTTTTCTGAAATTGTCTCCTGGTAGGGTGTAACATATGTCCTGAAGGTAAGGCAAGATATTGCACCCTATATACCCAAACAGGACTCTGTCAGCTCACAGGTTTTTACCTCCAAGGTTTCTTTCTTTTCTTTTTCCAAGCTGCGAATCTTCAACAAGTTCTTCTCTTGGGCTGACAGCTTCCTTGGATCAGTAAGTGCCAGCAATTCCTCATCAATCTCACTCAGTGATGTTCTGGTCTTGTTTTGACCCAATTGATTCTCCAGCTCTCGAACCTAGGAGACAATAATGACAACTCATCCAGAGTCTTTACCAGGAGTCCAGTGGTCCAGCATCAAAGAGGACATAACCAAAGGGAGCTCAGAGTCTAGCATCATATTACATCTTGACATTATCGTGGTTAACTAACACAGAGCAGTGTCTGTTCTTTCAAGTTTAAATTTGTTAGCTGCTAACAAACATGTAGCTATCTAGGGCATCTGTGCAGGGAGAAGGTATGACATCAGACCTACAGGAGACTCAGGACACATGGGAGATCTGTACCTTATTGGAGCCGCATGTGGAGGCCAGGCAGACACTCCAAAGCATCTTGAATGCCGCTAAACAGACGTGTGGGCAACAGAATAATACCTTAGATCTCCTCTAAAAGGGCAGACACCCACTCACCTATATACATATAAGCATCTTGGTCTTTAGCAGAATCACCATCCAGGATGTCCACAATGTAAACATCTAAGGCACAGTTCACTAGTGTGAACATAGGTACCTAGTGCTGTTTTAGATGCCCTGGGATACTGAGGGCACATATGATGCAGCATCTACAAGACATCCACAGTACTCTGGAGAGATGACCAGAGGTCAGAAGGACACCCTACGGCATCTTGGCTGGCATTAGACACCTATGTGTAGTCAAGAGAACTCAGCCTCTGCATCTCAGCTATTCACTACATACTTCTTCTGTAGTCAGTAGAAGGAAATGGGTACTGCTACAGCACAGTTCCTCTGCCCTGTTCTGGAGATGGCTTCGAAGATAAGATGCACCTACCTCACTTTTGATACAGTGACTGTATTTACAAGATTGCCACTGACTACAGAAGGGGCCTGAGGAGACTAGCTCAGAAAGAAATTTCTACATTACAGTAGAATACAGTACGTACAGCCTTCAGATGAATCCCAGCCTGGGGGTCTAACGGAAGGCAAAATGTTATTTGCTCAAGGGAAAGTAGAAGTTAACAATTTAAGTCAGAGTGCAAAAAAATCACAGTTTGTTGGCATATAATTAAACAGCAGAAAAATAGGAAAAATATGTATCAAATTGCCTGAGAGAAGTTTTATTTAAGATGCAGACAAAACTGCCTCCCTGTCTCGAGCTGACATTTCAGCTAGACTGTGCCCTTCAGAAGATTCAAGAGTTAAAGATTTTACTGAAGTTCCTGGGGGAACAACTTGAAAATCTTACCTGACCTCAATTCTTCCCATCTGACTTTAAGCACTGAACAAAGGTGTCTAAGTCAGAGCACAGACATTGACAGGGATCCTTCTGTACTCAGTGGAGAGAGACACCTTCAAAACATCCTGGGATTTTAACTAAGCTGCCATAGCTCTCCAAGGTCACTGAACTCTCTCCTTTGACACAGATGCGAAAGATTCCCATCTTAAATACTGAAGCTTGCATGTTTGCAATAGACTAAATAATATAGTTTGCAGGAACTCTGAAAGACCCTGCACACATCAACACATATTTAAAATTTAACACCCTACCACCACACACACATGTGTACGCACACGTACACACACCAAAAACCTATTACAAAAGTTAGCATGAAGTGTTTTATTCTAACAGTTGCTTTCTTCAACAGAGAAAAGACTGGCCATGTATTTGCAGTAAACACTGCTTGTATTGGGACATGCCTTATAAGCGGGTATGGATGTTAAGAATTACTTAATGAAGAACTAACAGTATCTTCAACTCAAACTGAGGTAACACCTCTATGTAGAAAGAACATTCTAGCACCCAGCATACATGGCACCATGCATGGTCTTAACTCACTTTGCTTTGGAGAACAAGAATTTGCTGCGCTCGTCCACGCCAGCTGCCAGAATTGGTCAAGAGACTTTGAATATTCACATCTTCACCAACTTCATTTGCCAAAAGCTATGAAAAAGGGATTAACATCAACAATAAGGCTAGGCTTAAATACATGTGTTGGGGAGAGGGGAGGAAAAGCTGCTCTCTAGCAGTAAACACAAAACACTGTATCTATACATAGTGGCCTGTATCTGATATTCAGTATCCCACGTGATGTAAGCTCTTTCAGATCATTATTACAATACAGATTGTTGGTGGGTAGGAGGAGTTTGGCCAACATGAATGGTTTTACTTGTTGAGGTGGGTAATTCAGTATTTTGATAAGTTTGAGTATTATTCTTTGCTTTTTTAAAAACGTGAATCCGTGTTTTCCTGCCTGCCTATGGAGAGTGTCAAATTGTACTATCGAGCTGTACAGCTGATTGTCAAACTGTGCTACTTTTGTAAAAAACGAGGATTTCAAATTCGTCACCAAGGTTTACTAAGCGTTACTAACAGTTTTCAATATATGTAAATATTTTTGATATAATGGACTTAACCAGAACTAAACAGGAACAGAGTAGAGATACTGTCTTAATACACACCCTTGCAATCAGGAATTGAGCCAACCTCTCTTGCACAATTCCGACACAGCCACATTAAGGAGAGCTAAAGTTAGTATGAAGAGCATTTAAATTATTTATAAAAAGGTCAGCAGAGTTCTATTTTTAGGACCATATTCGCTACTCTGATCTGCATTGCAGGTCTCTTACGCAAAGTAATGAAACCAAAGGAAACAGAGCACATAGTAATGCATTAAAATCCATCATGAATCAAAGACGAAAAGGTTACTCTAGATGTCACTCCAACAAACTGTTTAAACATGTGCTTTAGTTCAAGCGTGGTCTTTAATCCCATTGACTTTCATGGAACTGAAGACTACATTAAAAGTAAATACATAATTAAATGTTTTGGAAAGGAGGAATGGGCCTGAAAGTATGCTTCAAATCAATCACAAACCTATTTTGCTGAACTGGGACTTTCAAACCTTAAAGGACCTGTACCCATCATAGCAATAGAGATAGTGGATACAGTCATCCAGCTGTGGTGGCAGAGCATGAAATCTGTGTGTCCACGTGCATATCTTTCCAATGAAATCACTACACCTGTGTTTTTTCTTACCTCCTTAGAGTTCACTGGAATACTTCATGGAGGCTAATCAAAGCTCAAAAGAAAAGAAGTCTCCCGATTTCACAAGAATATACCTCTTGCACAGGATCCCAGCCACAGACAGCATCCCGCAACAGTACCTTTTGGGTCATCTTCAGCTCCTGTTTCGTGGATTGGAGTTGGTTACGATACTCCATCACTTTAAAGTTGGCTGTGGTTAATTTTTCTTGCAATGCTTTCACCTTTGGACTTTCAGCCTTTGAAGAGAAGAATGTTCTTGGTAAGAACAAAATCCTTAGGGAAAAACTGAAATGATTAAGATCCACAGATCCATCAGGATCACAGAATCTTCTTTTCCCAGACCCATGCAAATGCCTTCCTTAATTTGGGGGGTCATAGAGAAGGTACAAACAGAGCAATTTTGTCACAAAACTAGTGACAGGGATACATCCTTGTCACAAGGAAAGGACTGCACAATAGGAGAGAACTAAGTATCAGCTTCTGATTTCCCCTCTTCAATTACAATTCGTACCAAGTTTCCTTCTATCATCTTCAGAGTTGATTGCTTGATTTTTGCATCACCACCACCAAGAGAATGTAGTTTTTCTATGGCTGTCTGTAGCTGGAAAAAAATGCATTGTTATTATAGAATGCATACAGTGAAGGACATATCTCCATGGAATATTAATTAGCAAAAAAGTACAACAGCAATTTTGATGATCTTGGATGTTTGTTTACTCTAGAATAAAAATTACTTCATTTTCCCTTGTTTTTTAAACACAATCAGTAGGAAAGCATGCAATTTCTTCCCAAAACACTTCCCAAAGAAGCATGTGTTATTTTACTGTGGAATAACTTCAGTGAAAATGTCTCTGGACTTGCTGAGATGGGATCAGTTATCAAGTATGGGGACTTCTGGGGGATTTTACCACCACAGGTACATAAAATAAGTGTTTCTATACATAAATGCAAAGCCAGTACAGTACAAATCAGGATGTTGTCTCTAGATTCTGGATGCCAGTTTACACACTTTTCAAGAAAATCACAGGGTATTTCATAAAAAGCACATAGTTCTACTCACCACAGGAATTTAAAAGGAGAAATGACTACCTAATGCCCTATAGCTGACATTTAATAATGGTGTTAGGGCTTTTTTTCTTTAGCTGGTAGCTCTAAGGTAGCATTTCTCAACCCATGAAGAATGTCTCCTATTGCTTGCCACAGGAAAGGAAGGCAGACATATAGACCCTCCTGCTCTGAGCCATGTCCTATGCTGAGGTTGCAAAGACCTCTTACTGTACGGGAGTGCAGTGAATTTGGAGCTGGAAACGCCAGGAAGTGTTGCTTTAAAAGACTGAAACTTCATTCTCTGAGGTGTGCAGAAAATCTTGATTATTTGCCTGAATAAAAGAAAGCTCTAAGGAATAACGTCTTCATTAAAGTGGTATCTGGGGAAACAGAGAGTGCAACTCAGACCCAGCTCTAATGTTACCCCTTCTTTGTAAGTAAATCAATGGTTAGACCACCCCTTCTATGCACTTCATAAACTCTTTTAGTCGATGGACTGAGAATGAGAAATTTCAGCTAGTGTTGGCAGCTGCTAGGTCAAATTCTAAGGAAATTTTTTGCAAACATCCGTTTGCAGTCTTTGTTTACACATACCACCCTTTGCTAAGCGATTGCTCAATTGCTCAATGGCCACACCTTCCATTCTGTTTGTGGGAACATAGTCACATTAAAACACTTATGATTTACATATTTTTCAATTTTCATACAAGCAAAGAGCTAACAATTATGTAAAATAACTGTGTTTTCCATTGGTGAAAATACATACTGTGATGCATTTTTAAGAAACCATCACCACAATTCATTCCATAGAGTTTAAGCCATCTAGAAGTAGGCATAAGGGATGAGACTCAACTCAGAAATTAACACGTTCCTTGTTTTCAGTGTGGGTGTCTCTATAAAGAATGGAGCCTAGTCAATACAATCAAGGAAGTCTAGTCTTCAGCTCACTTTACAGTAGACACTGACATTACATCAAGTGCATGGACTGACTGTGGACTTGGTTTTGTTGCCCACCCACAGCTGTCTAGTCCCTTTTGAGGCATCTGAGGGTATCCAGCAGGCCTTCAGCTGCTGCACCAGGACCGCCAGTCCTGTCACGTCTAACAGCCCTGCAGGCATGTCTGAGAGGTCAAGTGACATCTCAGATTGTACTTTTATGCTTATGTGTGGGCAACTGAATTGCACTTCAGTTGTCTTGGTTCTTTCTACAATCAATGGAAAAAGATGGGTGTGTCTAGACAGTGATCCAGATTAGCTTAAGAGTTACTAAAGAGATGTGAATCACTGCAGGCTCCTGTCTGTGACAGCTCTTCTCTTTCATCACTCAACATTTTTCACAGAAACCTCCCACTGTCAAACATTGCTTTAATTTTACCCATCTTTCACATCTTCATATAGTTCTACTGAACAAGTACAATCCACAAACTCAGCCAGTGACCATAACTTTAGAGAAGAGCCTCCCCACCTGAGGCTGTGAGAAAATACAGACCATTGACCAGGGCATGGTTTCAGTGGGGCTCATGTTGTGGTTCATCTTTACCTCAGATGAGACAGGTTGCTGGTTTTGGTTTTGATTTTGATGGTGCTGGTGTCTAAGGACAGATTAGTTCATATCTAAAGTGTCCACCTCTGCTTTGACCAGCAGTTACTGTTTCTTGAAAATTTTTGTTTGCTTTGAGTTTGATTTCCTTTCCTGAAATGTCTGTGGTCCTTTCTTTTGGGTCAATATCTGACAATATTTTAAGTTTCTGTTTGAATAATGGTCATTACACTTCTGCAGTAGAGGATTATAACCGAGTTGGTTTTTCTTGAAATTATTCATGGCTTGCTCCTCTACTTGTGTGATTTTGTAGGTCCCCAGCTACACCTGATATTTCTTAGCCAGCCTGCCAACTGTTTGACAAGACCCCTCTGACCAGAACTCTCTGAATTTATGCAGGAGTTCTCAAAAATTTAATCTACCATTTCTTGATCTTTCAGGTAACTAGGGTACAATTCAGATAGATGCATGATTCATAATAATAAGTGATTGTGAAAGATGGAGTCAAAATGCATTTGTCAGCATGATAAATGTTACTGATCCATTTAAATGATGTCTACTAAGGAAGCAAAGTGCTGAAAAAAGCATTAAAAATTATCCCAAATTTTACCAGTATTGTGTAAGGAAAAGCAGTAGTAGCCAATGAATAAGGTAAATATTGACATCTGGGCATCTAATTTTCATTTTAGCAGTCACCTGAGTAAAATTATTCCTGTGAAAGGTTAGCATATATAAAAAAGTCATACTAAACCAGAAAAATGAATTTGCCTGAGTGAAGATTTGGTGTCTTATATGATATAGTTACTGTCTCAGTTCTGGATGTACTTATGCCAGAAAACAGCTTTCATTATATGGACAAATAAAGCTTAGAAGAATAGACTACTAATTCATGACTGGTATTAATGAGGTGGGAATGTAAGACATAATGGTATGAAATTTGCTCCTCTTCACCAAAAAAAAAAAAAAACCCCAAAAATCAGAAAAATATAATTGCCATACTGCTAGAAAAGCCTCTGTGCTTCAAATACAAGTGAACCTTCTTAATTGGCATTTCATAAATCTTTGGCTCATTATAACTTACGGATATCCTTTCCTAGCTCCTCCCTTCTGCAAAGGTGAAAACAGCTGAGGGCACACATCCCTCTCTCCTATCACGGACAGAAATTACAAGAACTCAAAGCAAGCATGGATGTAAGAGCAAAGTCAAAATGGGAACATGAATCAAACCCTGTTTCTACAGCTCCTATATCCCAAAGGTTGGATTTTTTCTATGTTTTAGCATACAAAAAGAGAACAAAAAAAAATGCCTCACTTCTCTCTCCAGCTCTTTGACTTTGTTATTCAGCTGCTTCACTTTGGCTTTTTCACTCTCAGTCTCGGCAGTTATCTCACGATTCTTTTTGGCCAATTCAACTATTTTAGTAGCTGCAACATCTCCAGCTAAAGCAGATGCCCCTGAAAATATACATAAAAGCAAAGGACATATCTTACAGGCAAGATTCAGAATAGATGATGCTTTTGTTCTCTGTCCAGTGCACAATGTACTTTCATTGTCTAATCCATTTCTCTCAGAACTGTGCCAGGCACTTAAATGAACAACTGAGGGAAAAGAGGCATCAGTAATTCCAGCTGGATTGCTTGGTCCTTTGAGTCAGCATCACATTGTGGCTAGCAAAGCCACGTTTCACACTTTAGCAACAGCCACATGTCAGAAGGCCACAACAGTGGCTGTAGCAACATTACTACATAGAAAGGGTAGAGGTGTTTTCTGCTCACTGCTGTGAAGGACAGTTATGAACAGGGTTTTGCGGCATATTACAGAAAAAGACAACACTATTTTGCGCTAGTTGTTTACTACTGGAGGAGTTGTTGAAACAGAAGTGCGAACTTTTCTAGACATGTGTCCTAAAAGGTCAGGCACACTATTACAGTTGGGTCCTGGGTGATGTCCAGGAAATTTCATTGTGCCTATTTATATGTCCCTTGAGATTATACATGGAGTCTTATTGTATTACTCTTTTAATTGCTCTTTTAAACAGATACTTCATTCACCTCCTCATCAGAAAGGGTTTGATTAGCATCAAGAATAAAGTAATCCCCAGAACTGGCTTGCGTGTTATCTGGCTTTCGTCAACATGACATAGGTGAAGAAAAGTTCTCGCACAAGTGCAAAATCAATATGATTGCATACAATGTCCACGGAAATCTCTAGCTCAGCAATGAATATGAGCCTGCAACAACAAATCCTTGGTGGGATATATGAAGATCGAATTCGGCTGGTGTCATTCTTCTTAACTCTTTCATCCTCCTTCAGTGCTCTGAGGTAATGACTTTTCTACTGACATCCATGAACATTATATTCAAGAACCAGGGTGAGATGCAATGATGACAGATCACTCTTAAGAGAATTCTGAGCCCCATAAAAACCCTAGAGACATTAAAGGGGCTATGCAGAATATAGCTCTGAACAGAATATGACCCTATATCACTATTTAAAAACCTTGTAGAGAACATAAATTTATTATTTTTAAAAGCATTTCCACTGTTCTCACTCCTATATCTGATTTGTGTTTCCCCTCTCATCTAGAAGCTACTTTTTCCTTAGTTTTCATGATAAATAATGGCTGCTATCAAGGATCACAGTAAGTACTAAACTAACCAAAAGCCAGGCTGCTGCTTCCATGTCATGGTCTTCAAATGCATTACACATGTTTAATCAAAGCTTTTAATTCCCAGGCAATGTGGGTGAGTCTCTTGCCACAATGTAGATAGGGAAGACAGAGGCATGGGGCAAACTACCGCAAGCTGGCATGAGTCAGCCAGAGAAGCTGCAACAGTACATCTGGCTCCTGGTCCTAACCCAGTAATAGCTTATCATCTCTCCTACATAAAAGCTACAGATAGTTTTTAAGAATTAAGGTTATTTAAGTGTTATTTAATTCTGCTTATTGCTGGTTTCCCCCTTCTCTACTAGCCTGGTCATCACTGCTGTCCTGAACAACAGTGGCACCCAGTGGAGGAGGTGCAGCCTGCACAGTTCAATTTTCAAAGGACACCCAAGACGCTTTAGAAGCTGGACTTTGCATTCAGCCAGCATCCTGCATGTGCCCTATTCAGGCAAACAAAAGGAGCCTGAATAAGGAATTTAAAACTACATAGCAGAGAAAGCCACAACACTGCTCTTTGACATTAACAGATATTTTTCCAAGATGCGATTTCTATGAATCATAATTTTTTTGTGCCAATAATAGCAAGTTTGCAGATCTGTGAGGAACAGAGATCACTGTGTACCCCAAAAGAGCACTATACTTCTTTTAGGGCACATATAATTATCAATAACAATATTTTGCACCTTAGGTCTGACCTGCCTGACTACCAGAAATCATTTGGTCCTTTCAATAGCTCTCTAAGATGGGGAGTAGTAGTAATATTCATATTTTGCAGCTCATGAAACTGAAGGAGAGAGTAAGGCACAGATCTTTAAGCGTACACGCCACTCCACATGTAAGTGCTATCATGTCAAACCATTGTAAGGAAATTCCCTCTACAAATAAAGCAATGAGACTCCTTACGTGGGAGAGACATAGATATTTAGTAAACTCTGCAAATGCAGAACAGTGTCAACTTAGACCCTTGCAAGTTTAGGTAGCAACTCTAAGTGTTGACTAAATCTATACCCAGGTGTCTAAATATTTTCAAAGTTCAGAGCCAAGTGGTTTCAGTGCTATTGCAAATTACTGCAAGCTCAACAAAGAACAAGTCTCTCTCAGTTGAGAGCAGAATTTTGATTCTTCCTAGCAGAAGCTTATTATAGGAGTGGAAACAGAGATAACCACAATATGACCAAAATACTCCTTTTTAGCATAAACCAGGTAAAGAGATGTCATGTGAATATTTCACTGCCAGGAGCTCACAATAAATCAGTTATCCTGCTTCTACTGTCATCAGCATCAAGCAAACACCGGAACTAACATAGTGAGAAAACAAAGTTATTGTGTTTACCCAGCAAAGCCAATCTGTCCTCCTGTATTTTTTTCTGGAGTTGCTGTATTTCAAAATCTTTCTCTGTCACCAGTTTGTACAGTCTGCAGTTCTCATCTCGGACCTCTCGAAGCTGATCCTGGAGCTGCTCGTTCTCAATCTCAAGCAACCTGGGAAAAAATAAGCCATAATGGCAAAGGTCACTGTAATGTGCTTCAAATAGACGCTTCCAGAAATAAAATAATGAAACAACTATATGCTAGATGAGCTGAGCTTACCAGGAGTAAGTTTACTGAATTAAGTAGAATATCCTAAACCTTAGATCACAACACAAGATGATGATCTGACCTATTCGGTTAACTTATTTCTTCTGAAAAAATTCTGCACTTCCTTGTGTTGTCGGGACAAAAGATCACAGAACAAGTATCCTTTCAGTGCCCTTGAGGTTACTGAACAGTCTCATCTCACTCACTTTTACTTATCTGGTTCGAGGAAACCAGGCAGGCTTACCATTCAGCATCCATGACGTTCAGGCTTTACTTTCTATACTTACCAAAGCGAACAGAAGTCAACAGAGCATCAACTACAAAAGCTGCTACTGAGGTTCTTTATTTAAAAATGAATGTTTCGTAGCAAATCACAAAAGACCAATTTCCTATGCATTCATCTGATTTTCCTGGAACCCCACCAGGATGGACTGGCATCAGTTTGTATTGTTAATGTTGCTTTTCGGAATTCATTTAGAAACAAAGAATATCAAAAAGCCCTCTGAACAGGAGGAAATAGCCTTGCTTCTCCTATTCTTCAGTACATTTAGTAACATTTATGGGTTTCATTTCTCTAAGACATCCAGAGAATTAATAACTTTAATCTCTTTCCTGTCCTTACAGGATGGTTCCTCCAAATGTAAAAACTAGAAGCTAAGACCTCAGGGGCTCAATTCACCTGTGGGCACTCAGGCATCTATTTGAGATGCCCCAGGATTATCTGAGCTCCCTACATGAGGCCAGCAGCCATGACGCAGGGTTCTTGGGAAAACTACTGGGGCCCAGGCAGAGAATCGAGAGCATCTCAGAGAGCACTTGCCAACCATGTGTGGACATACAAGCCAACCCCAAGAATTACTAATGTCCTCCAACTTTAGACATACCTTTTAGCCAGATTCCTCCAGACAGCAGCATTTCAGAATAGAAATGAGCCTGTCTCCATTCCACAGAGAGGAAACCAAACGTGCTAAGAGAAGCTGTACTGACACTCCCTTCGGTAAGTATGTTTGCTGGCTCAAGTCAGAGGTTCCAATTCTGCCTGCCTCTGAGTTTCCTCTCTCCTCCCACCTGAACTCCCTCATCTCCCCCCATCTGAGTTTCCAGGTGGGGTCCCACTCTGTACCAAGACATGGGTGTCTCTGTGAACAGCAAGCCAAAACACCCACAAAAGTCAAAGGTGGTCTAGTTGGTACATCCAGTGCTGCCTACAGACTAGCTGCCACTGTAGGGCGACGGAAATCACTCTTTAACTGTCACTAAGTGCACTGATGAGGGGACTCAATTCAGTTACCCACGCACAGGTGCCATTTGGGCCACACACCCACCACCCAGCTGCTGCTGCTGAAGGGTGCGGGTCTCCTGTGTCCTGTCTATCATTCCCATGTGGAAGTTCCTGATACCCTACAGCATCTCAGATATCATTAGACACCTAAACCATCCAGATGAATTGACCCCTAAATTCTTATTATCTAGAGTGTCACCCTGAATGTCTACATTTTGGTGACTTAATCTGGCATAGTGTCCCACCCCTTTGGCCTATAGACTGATTGCTCCAGGCTACAACAGAAGTAGGTAGCTTGCATGATCACAGAGATTTGGATAAAGCCCAGTTGTTGCAGTATAAACCTGTGGCTATAGACATATCGACAGCCAGATAAGTCAGCTATCTCAATAGTCACCTAAATATTTTCTATTCAAAAATTTTAGCAAGCTTTTTGCTCCAACTGGACTTTGGAGCTTTTAAAGGCACGCTTCATATGTACATGTCAGAATAAATGAGCTCTTAAAGCACTGCCATAAACAGCACAGTCAATTTATGAGACAATTCACAATCCATAATTAAGAAATGCACTTCTGTTTCAAAGCTGCAAATCAAAGGGAGATCAAAGGCAGCTGTTTACAAAGGAGAAGAAAGAAAGCAGCAATCTGAGCAGAGAAAAGGCAAAACTAACTTATTCCCACATGTACCACTCATAGAAGTGAGCAACAAAACTGTGCAGAACTAATTAGAGACACATGGACAAAAGATTTTTAACAGGGAATTAACATGAAAAAAGGTTCTAAGCTCTTAACACACCTGATCAGAGATGTCTTCCTCAGAGCTGGCTTCCAAGTCTTGACAAAAAGTACTTACAGCAGGATGGACAGAAATCCCAACTGCACAGAGACAAGAGTCTCCTCTGAGAAACTTCTCCATCCCATCCCACCCCAGAGTGACTCTACATGTTACAAAGGAGGTAGCAGGTTCCACTGAGTGGCTTAGCTATGGAAAGTCAGCCAAAAGAAACAGGCTGCAGAAAGGTAACCCTTTTCACTCTAGTTCAAGGAAAGAGTCAGAGGAAGCTTATGAGCAACGCCTATGACTGAAATTCAGGTAAGTGTCTTTCCTAACTCTGTTACCGTTTCTCTGTGTGATGGGGAGAATTGCTTAAATACACCAAAGGAAGCAGGGAGGATAAAGTTACAGAAAGAACAAAACAGAAAGACAGAAGTGTCAGCTGAACACTTGCCTAAACAAAATTTGGGAGTAGGACAGGAGGAAGGAAAAATGAACTCCCAAGGCTCGGAGGAAGGGAGACTTCTGAGACGAGAATGTTTTCCAAGCGCCACTATAAACAACACTGACGTGCTGAAATCACTGCCACTGCAGACCATATGGAGTCCTGTTATTCTGGAACAAGTTTCTAACGTGTTGTCATGGGAATACTGCAAAGTACATCCTGGTAAATCCCTTCCAGAAGCAAATCCTGCCTGGATTTGATACACTTATAACCACTCTTTTGCTGAACACAGACATACATGAGCAAAGGACAATCCAGATAAATCTGCTACACCTGCCATGTCAAATGGGGACTTTTAACAGTCAGTGCCACTGAAATGGAGGTAAGTAATAGCTAGCTCTTGAATTACTCAGACCTAAATGACTGAACTGTAAATAGTAGAGAACTGCTGGGACTCTCCTGTACTCTGCAGCTCAGAGTAAGCACACTGCACCAGGATGTGCTATGGGAGTGCCTAAGCCCCTCTCCTCCACCACACAAATCCACATCTGAACTGTGAGAAGCAGTCTCCCTCTCCATTAAAAAAAAAAAAAAAAATCAGATCTCCATAGTAATCTCTATATAATATCAGAACCAAATGTTGAAGGGAAGACAACAGCTGGTAGAGGTCAGATCAGAAGCATAACTTGGCAAATCAGACAGCTGTGGTGAGGGACCTGTGTGTGAAGAAGACAATGTATGAAGCACTAGTTTCTAGAAAGTCAGCTCCCTGTTTCCACACAGACTTCCTTTGCAGCATGAACACCACATTCCCAGAAGCACCTGAAAGTTTCAGTGGTTCACTCCTGGGTTCCCTGCATCTTCACAGAAGCTCTGCTGCAGCTTATCCACTTGGGCGTTTAAGGAAGCAATCTTCAGAAACAAGCTGAGCAGGGAGTTGCCCAGAGTAACACAAAGGGAGGATCAGCATTTAGGCCCTAATAAACCTTGGTTAGTGGCTTGATAAACTTTGGTAGAGGTGCCCTTCCCCACTCTGGATTCTGGGAGGGGAAACTGTCTCAAAGGTATATGCCTAACTGTGGTTTTCTACCCATGACCCGCTGGTTTTGGCAGAGCTGCCAGTTCCTCCTTCCTGACCCTGTATCACAGTACATCACCCCATCATGGTGCCTATAAAACGGTCTATGGGACTAAAGCTGTAAAATTGGATCACTGAAATGACTTGAGATAAAAGTACCCTTGCCCCAGAAAGTGAATCCAGTTTCCAGCAAATAGCTGTATCCGCACAGCTGCAAGTGGGGAGCAGAAGCAGGAGTTTCTTCAGCTGGCTTCACCACTAACATGGAGCAAATCCCTGAATAGCCAACACTGTAGTAAGTGCAGACATCTTTGGGACGTGTCAACTTCAGACCTGTTCTAGTTTGTACAAAAAATATTAATTGGGTCAGAGGGAAAGACTGACTATATCCTAGGAGGAAGACAAATGATCTGAAATGGGGTTTCAAATCTTTGCTCCCGTAAATTGAATTATGCACTCAGCTCCAAAAACAAGATCGAGGGAGATCCACACCAGAATGTCCAATATCCTGATAATCCAGATACTACCCCAATGGGTAAGGTAAGACCCAAACGCCTGTCCCCAGAAAGATTTAAAACCCTACCATGTATAAACCTGTCAAGTATCTTAACCAGGGGGCAGCTCTGTCTATGAGACCCTCCTATGTAGCTGGCTGTCTTTTGATCTACTAAATCAGGTTATATTGCAAAGATAGCCAGGGGAACACTTTTCTGAGCTACAGGCCTTTGCTTGCACCCATTAGCTGCTTTGCCCTTACCTGTCTTTGGCAATTATTCATGTAGGGAACTTGTTTGTTTAAAAGGCTAGGCAGGAAATAACCAACAGTTCCAAGGATGTTAGTGATCCTGAACGACTGGATTTCATAACACAGTACCTAGCTGCCCCTAGCATGTCACCCTTAACCCCTCTGTCCTGCTTTTCATTTGTGAAACACTGATAATCATAGAATCATAGAATCATTTAGGTTGGAAAAGGCCTTTAAGATCGAGTCCAACCATCATCCATGCCCACTAAACCATGTCCCGAAGTGCCTCATATACACGCTTTTTGAATACCTGCAGGGATAGTGACTCAACCACTTCCCTGGGCAGCCTGTTCCAATACCTGACAACCCTTTCAGTAAAGAAATTTTTCCTGATATCCAATCTAAACCTCCCCTGCCACAACTTTAGGCCATTTCCTCTTGTCCTACCTCCAGCCACCTGACAGAAGAGATCAGCACCCACCTCACTACAACCTCCTTTCAGGTAGTTGTAGAGAGCTATAAGGTCTCCCCTCAGCCTCTTTTTATCCAGACTAAACAGCCCCAGCTCCCGCAGCCGCTCCTCATAAGACTTGCGCTCCAGGCCCCTCACCAACTTGGTTGCCCTTCTCTGAACATGCTCCAGCAACTCAATGTCTTTCCTGTAGTGAGGGGCCCAAAACTGAACACAGGACTCGAGGTGCGGCCTCACCAGTGCCAAGTACAGGGGGACAATCACCTCCCTGCTCCTGCTGGCCACACGATTTCTGATACAGGCCAGGATGCCGTTGGCCTTCTTGGCCACCTGGGCACACTGCTGGTCATATTCAGCCAGCTGTCAAGCAGCACCCCCAGGTCCTCTTCCACTGGGCAGCTTTCCAGCTGCTCTTCCCCAAGCCTGTAGCGCTGCATGGGGTTGTTGTGACTGAAGTGCAGGACCTGGCACTTGGCCTTGTTGAACCTCATACGATTGGCCTCAGCCCATCGATCCAGTCTATCCAGATCCCTCTGTAGAGCCTTCCTACCCTCCAGCAGATCAACCCTCCTTCCAACAATAATAAAAGAGCACATCATAACGGTCTGAGGATAAACACGTTAGGGGCAGCGAGAGTCTTCTCAGGATAATGAAAGCCCAGTGCGTGAAGACAGAAAGTGCTCTGTCAACTTAATATGAGTTTCATAAGATTATATGCAAAATATACTTCTTTAACTTCCTGAAGGAACAGTGCTGCTATACCTTTACCTTTTGCTGTCATCTTCATTTACAGGTTGTCCTATTTCAAACAGGTTTAGATCATGTGGGACTCTGAAAGTTTCCTGTGCATTGCCATCATCACCCTTCTGACTGTGCTGGTTTTCCTTCTTCCTCTCCATTAGATTTTGCAGCCGTCTTTGCTGTTGTTCTTGATAAGCCTTGAACTGACTTTTAAAATGCTCATTGACTTTTATGTCTGACTCCATTGTTTACTGAAAGCATAACAAGAAGAAAATAAAAAGTGACAGAGAGCAGAATCAACATCGCTTTGAAAAACATCCTCTTCTAGCAGCTGCTTTGCAGTTTTTCCTCACTGACCTCCGCACAATCTCCCTGCCACCTCCTCCTCTCAGCCACTGTACTCTTCAGCCTCACTGCCTTTCTTCAAGTGCCTTTTTCCATAAATGGCTTTCAAACAGTCTTCAAAAAAAGTTTTTGGGTCTTTTTCACTCTAGCATTCAAAAAGCAATGTCTTAAAATATTTTTAAACAAATCTGTTTAAATAAACATTTTTACAGAAGAGCAAGTTGGGGTCAAACCCAAGTGACTGTGGCAAGCACATTACAATGACTAAAGGGAGCACAGACTGTCTGCAACCATCCAGCCTTCCTTGCCACGTTTCAAAGAAAGGTGCAGATCGCCCCATTTTTGGGTTAACATGGGACTGACAGAAGAAGAAAGATCTCTGTTTATCCTAATGCTCCCTTTGGGCGCTAGACACTGAGAGTGTGGCTTAATCTTCCCCCTGAGTTTCTAAGCATTAAGTGATAACATTAAAGCAATAATATTGCTACCCATTTAAGTGTCAAGAGCTTTACTTAGTATGACTAAAGACAATCAGTTTGCTGATGTATTCCAGCCCCCTCTCCTTCTGTTTGACATTTACTGTCAGCAAAAAATCTAGTGCACCTTTGGCCTAGGAAAAGGGATCAGTAAAATCTTTGGAAGGCACACCCTCCACTGAGTAATTAACACAGGCCCTTTCTCACACTAAGGCAGCAATCGTCCTGATAAACTGCCAAAAGGCACGCTGCGTCCCTTTGTGCCTGTATGTACTGTGTGGGCAGAGACGCACTGCAAGCAGCTTTACCTCCAGGACACCCTGGGGTGTGGGCAAGGTGCGTTAAGGACTGAACAAGCCCAAAGAGCCAAAGTCAGCTGCCTCTGCCCAGCCCACAGGCCTCGTGGGTACGAGCGACGGCCTGGGGGCAACCTTTAGCCTTCCAACCTACCTGGCTACCGACTCCAAACCTGTCACGGAGGGATCTGCCCCAGAGCTGCTGTGTGAGGAGACGGGCTTCCCTCTCTTCCCCGCCCAACTCCCGCCTTGTCCTGCGGCCTGACAGGGCCTGACA